ATTTGTAATTTTTTTGGAGGTTTCCCCCATTTACGGGGAACGAGGGAATTTTTTTCAATTTTTGAGGGTAATGTCTTCGACTAGATACGATTTGTGATCTTTTGACGTATCATTGAAAGAAATCGGTTTGGTGAGAGCTGAGAGTGGTAACAGACACAAAAAAAAAAAACACATCTTAGTATAATCAATACCTTCTCAGCTTCGCATCGAAGCTAAAACAGACCAGAGAGCCACTCTCATAATTTTTTATCGACCTCAACAATGCGTCAAATACTCCAGATATATTCATAATAAAAACTTTATTTTACCCCAAAATAAAAATTCAGGAACCCCATGCTCGTCGTGACATTCCACAATGTCACAGATGTCAAAACTATAGCCATACACGATCGTACTGTAACCGTAAGCCCAGGTATGTACGGTGCGGCCAAGAGCACCTTTTCGATAAGTGTCAAAAAACAATAGAATTACCAGCCACATGCGCACTATGTGGTGGAGGACATCCAGCCAACCATAAAAGATGCGTTGTTCACTAACAGCTCCAAAGGTCTAGACACATGCTCAAGTCATCTCAACCACCAATGAACCCACAAGACTCAACTACTAATAATGTAAATGATAAGCCATTCAGCACTCATCCTGAACCCTTTTCTTACTCTGATGTAATAAAACTCTCAACTAATAATAAAAATCCAAAAAATACCTTATCCAACGATTCCTCACTTTTCTCTCGACTGTCTTCCTTTCTTAAGAACTTCTAATCTCTGATCACACCATTTATTAATCTTCTTACAACTGTTATAAACAAAATCATAGCCAAAAATGACGCATAATCATAATGTAAATATCCCGCTAACCATCCTCTCTTGGAATTCTAATGAACTCAAACAGTACAAAAATGAGTTTTAATTCATATTAGAAGATAAAAATATAGACATAGCCCTTGTTTCTGAAACTCATTTCACCCCCAACTCTTGTACAAATTTTTTTGTATACAAGGCATATTTCACTTGTATCCTGATAGTACAGCACACGCTGGCTCAGCAATACTTATTAAATCTAAATTGGATCACTATTCACTACCGCCATATACAGAGTGATTATTTTATCATAACCCATTCAATTACTCACACAATAATGATAATTTAAACATTTTTTTTTTGATTATCTTTAGTTATACATTATTCTTGAATTATTTACTATGTAATACTTTTTAAGTTCATCCCTTATGCCTGGTAAGGGTATTACTCTGTTTTTTTTAAAGGGAACACTTATTTTGAATTTAATAAAATGTTTGAGTTTTTAATTTAATAATAAATGGCATTTGAATTTTTAATATAACTTTATTTGTTTATTAGATATAAACATTTAAAGTTTCAAATTTTTTAATTAATATACATGTATAGTACACAAGGGATTACAAGTACAGGTAGCTAATTGTTTTTTTATGATATCGATATTAACAGGTACACAGCATTGTTATTGTCAAAGGTAGTAAGGCACATTGTTGTGAGTATACAAATACACTAACTGACTATACAGAAAGGATATCTATTGATAGTCATAATTGATAATAAACAATCCGTGACTGTGACAGCAATGTCATAGAAAACTAATTAACTACCTGCTTTTGTAATCCCTTGTCTATTATACATGTATATTAACTCAAAAATTTGAAACTTTAAATGTTTATATCTAATAAACAAATAAAGTTATATTAAAAATTCAAATGCCATTTACTATTAAATTAAAAACTCAAACATTTTATTAAATTCAAAATAAGTGTTCCCTTAAAAAAAACAGAGTTAACACCTTTACCAGGCATAAGGGATGAACTTAAAAAGTATTACATAGTTAATAATTCAATAATAATGTATAACTAAAGATAATCAAAAAAAAATGTTTAAATTATCATTATTATGTAAGTAATTGAGTGGGTAATGATAAAAAAATCACTCTGTATAACACTTCATATCCAAGCTGCAAGTATACTAATTACTCACAATAATATATCCATCACTATATGCTCAGCATATTGTCCTCCTGGTTCCATCATCTCCTATGAAAACTTTTCTGAATTTTTTGCCACATTAGGTCTACGATTCATCACTGGGGGTGATTTCAATGCCAAAAACCCTTCTTGGGGAAACCGAGCATTCAATACCAGGGGCAGAACGTTACTTCGCTATATTAATAATACTAATTTATCAATCCTAGATCCTCCTGAACATACTTATGGCCCTCACATAACAGGCTTTCAGATATACTTGACATATTTATAAACAAACTATCAGGTAATTTTCAAAATAACTTAAGCAATCTCTTTGACTTATCCTCCGATCACACACCTATTCTACTCGAAATAGGTTTAAACGTTCCGTCTTCAAAAAAAGAAACCCTTACTCCTGGTAAAACTGACTGGTCTATTTTTAAGACAGCTTTCATTTTTCTGTTTCACTAAGAATTTGTTTTTGTAATTGGCTATCTACTCCTAAACCTAATAAAGACCTGTACATTTTTTCACATACAATAAGTACGATGTGCTTCACTATGTTTATATAATGGAAGGCTATTACATAACTTTTTCAATGGTATTATTTTAGGATTGATTATTTTATGTGGAAGAGAGAGAGCGTAAAGCGAGTAAAAGATAGAAAAGTTATACCAGACGAGAATGTAACTACATAACATCGACTGATGGTTATGTAGGTGTGTGTACCGGAAAGAGAATATACAAAAATAGAAGGAACACAGGGGAAAAATTGAAGATGAGGTGGTGGAAATTTAAAGATTGTAACGTAACAAAAGGTAAATATATATATTTGTATTCTAAATTAATTTTGCTGAGCCGAATACGTGTTACGACGGCGTTTATAATTTAAATAATCTTGATAAGGTGTTGTGATTTGTTAGTGCGTGTGCGAGATAGTCAGCTATGTACTACTTCGGACCGGTTTATGGACGGAATTTTTGTGTACATTTACCCCGTTCCATTCCTATCTTGAACGTAATTTGCACTGCTCACCAACTACATTTTCGCCTTATGATTAGAATTGTTCTTAATAATTTCCGGCACTGTGTAGTAAAATTTGTTGACCCCTACTCTAAAGGCTGGCCGTGTTGTCGCCATCTCTTGAGGTCCATAATGTCGATTCACGGGTTTAAGTTTTATTTGACCAAATATAAATGAATTTTGCAGGTAATAACTTTACAAGTCGTAAATTTTTGAAAAATACTCTTATGACTCTGGAGAAAGCAAAGTGAAGCACATTTTATTACAGCTTCTTTTAGAGAAAAAATTTTGTAAGGAATAAGTTTTCCAGTTGTACTAACATAAGCTATTCCTTTGGCTCTAAAGATTTTCTGCTTTTTTTTTTCATTCTAGATCAATTTTTTATGTCACAGAATCCCCTAAACAGATTTTTTGAGCCCGAGAAAATGATCTGATTCAAGATAGACGGAAAAATTGATGGAATAAATGAATTGTGTAGAATATTCAATTGATCAATTTGAAAATAAGGATACAACTTTTATTTTGGTTTGAGTTATAAGCAATGGACCTTCATATAATAAGTAAAATTTAGATAGCTTTTTAACACTAGAGCAACTAAGTTTGTGAGTTTTAGAAGAACAAAATCACCAGGTTTATATTGGATTGAGTTACCTATGACGTCATGGAGTGTTTTCCTGCGTTTTGCTTGGGTAATTTGAAAGTGATGAGCTCATATGTTTTCAATATAGTTCACTGTAGAGGATTGAGGAAAATTCAACGTAAGCTAAGTGGCGAGGCCAGTATTCATGATGAGAAAAACTATGTTCGAAATAACAGACCAAGTTCTCTCATTACCCGCTTTGCAGGATTGCTCTAAGGGCGGTAAACAGATGTATATGTTACTAGGATACCTATAGCTTCTAAGGTTTTGATTCAAACTAAACTAATAAATTGACGACCATAATCTGATATAATTTGACGAGGAACTGTAAAGGAAGGGATAAATTTATGGACGATTTTATGAATGCAAGCTTTGGCTGTGGAATTACATAAAGGATACAATGACTCATTATATTTTACTAATCTAAATTAACAATACGTATATTTTGTTTTTTCCCCAGGCCCCGGGACCCTAGTACTCACTGACTCCCCTTGTTGGGGCCCTTGTCGTAATGAATAAAATAATCTTGTAAATGTTCAACCCCGATTCTAGTTGTGTGATTTCGAACTTATTAAAAAACAAATATATGACAATCAGAAAGCTATGTAAAGTGTACACAACCTCAAAATAAATATAAATTTAAAGTAACTATGCATAGAAGTATTGATTATCTAATAGACATTTTATAGTGGTTATGTGTTAACATATACAAGAAAGCATTTTTAAAATTTCGCCTATTTTGACTTTATTAAATCAGGCATTAAACATTACAGTGTTATTTCGGATAGTTCTTCAAGAGTTTCTCATTTCTCATAGTAATAATTGTGATTACTTGATAACGTATTTAAGTATATAGGGATTAAAGTTAGAAAAACTGTGTGAAAGAAATGTTTAGTTTCTATATAAGTAAATAGTATTAAAATTGTATATTGTCCAAAAAATATCTAAAAGAAAGAAATTTTGTAAAATTTTCATAGCAATGAAGTTATAAAAAATAATCATTCATTATTGGTGATATTAATTAACAACACACTGTACAGTAATATTATTTAAGATAACAGTTTAAAATGTATTTTTACTTATGTTTGTATAGTACAAGGTCAAAAAGGACACATTCCTCTTTTTCGGTTATGTTGTAACTTAATGCAGCCTAATGTATACATATTTAAGATTTAGTCGTAGTTTCGCCATCTATCGAGTAAACCCGCTGCCGTTGTACATCTCTTATATTACATTTTTTGATATATTATATACTATTATATTACGAATAATTTCTATATCTTTTAATTATATAACTTATTCCATTCAATAATTATGTTCCAAATTATTTATTAAATTAACATTTACCTGATTCGCACAAAAAAATATAGTCGTCATAAGTGTAGATAGTAATATTTTAAAGTCTGGTATAAAATCTTTCATTTAAACACTAAAAAGTAAATTAATATTTACCTTAAATGCATTAATTAAAAATTATGTTTATAAGACAAATAAATTTATAATGATTTAACATTTGATAGCAAGACATTATTTTGAAAAAATAATACATTGATAGTATAATACTTAAATTAAAATTAAACGTTTCTAATTGAAGAAAAATGAAAATATTTAAATAATAACACAATAAACATGTTGTTATGAAATATTCGTAGATTAGTTTCATTATTTCAAACATTAATAAAATAAATAATTTTTTTAATGATCGCTCATGAATACATCATAAAATAACATTCATAACGAATGATCAGTTGTTTTAATTTATCTCCAACTGGACCTTAATGAATCGTACTTACTAACGTATCAAAATAATATACAGCTTGAATGATAGAAGTGGAATAATATGATACATTATTCATATTATCAAATATAAATTTGACAAGAAATTTTTACATTATTTACATCTATTTTATCTTTCAAAATCCATTTTTGTACGATTAATTTTGCAAAACCTTAGACTAGTCAAAATTGACTTTTGGATTAAATGGAAAATAGTAGATTCTTAACCCTCGGCTGACATTACTAGTCTGTATCTTGCATAAAAAGCATGTTGCATTGTAAATACTTTTTAGACACATTGCACTTTATGATTTATGAATAGTGAAAGCTAATGTTTCAAAGGGTAACTGCACTCTTGTGACCTGCCGATCGATCGCGACGGGATATGATGTGTTTGGCCGTAGCAAATAGATGTTTTTCGGAAATTTTCGACTTTCGTCTGAACTCGGATTATTGATGATCGTACATAGGTACGTAGTTTACGTAGGTTTATACGGCATAGATGAATATGATAGGTGTTCCAAAAGTAATATAGAAATAATTAATACGATTTCTAATTAAATGAGTTATCACAATGAAATACAAAAAAAATAGTGATTTTAATGAAATTTTGAGTTTTCTTTATAAATTTACTATTAATATTAATTTTATAAGTTCCTGATCTCATATCAATCTAAAAAATAAAATTTTTAATTCCTCATAAAATTTGCTATTTAATGATATAAATTCTTAATTTGCCTAATGAGTTAAAATAGTGTTCAAAAGTTAAACATTTTTAAATTATAAACTTTCATAAAAAGCAACATTAAATTTCAGTATAAAAACGAATTATTTGGAAATTATTTTTTTGAAGTAGGCATTTTTTACATTAGCATAATTATAAAATATTTGTCTCAATTTCTAGAATTAAAAATTTTTTTTCAATATTTGGTGTTATACTAATTAAAACGGTGTTCTTTTAATGTATTGGTCATTAAAATAGATCACGTGAGAGCTCAAAAAAATGAACACAAAATTCCTTTTACAGGAGGAGTTTAGTGCAAAAAATGACCTAATAAAACATTTAAATGCTTTTATCATTATCCAAGGAGAAGATGCCCATTGAAAATGCCAGGTATAGATATCTGACAGTGATTAAAATCACTATCTTAATAAACGCTTCGATGCAAATCTGTAAATAGTGTTTAATTATAAAAAATTGGTAGTTTATTTCAATATCAACAATAACTTTGATTCCCTTAATTTGATCCCGATTAGTTATTTGATTTGTAATTATAATATATGAATAAATAATAATTAAATTTAGTATGAAATTGATATTCAATAATTTAATATTGTAGTTTTTACGGAGACATTATAAAAAAATGAAGTAGTTTGTAACGTAATAAAATGATCATTAGTATAAGGTCATAGGGAACTGTATTCAAACAGTACGCGTCATTCATTGTATGTTCAGTGTTACACATTACATACATAATTATTTATTAAATTAAGACATATTTCCTATCACCTGTGATCCTCATCCTAAATACCACATCTGTCAACGGTCACACTATCAAATACCCTCGCTCGTATGTGATCAAGGCGGCATGAAAAATATCACGGTTATGTTCAAAATTCATCTTCAACAGAACTTTTCTTTTCTTCGTCATCTCCAAACCTTTTGGCACAACCTCATGTTGCCAATTATTATGAATTTTTCCGTTGCCGTCAATTTCATTATGGAGTAATATTTTTTATTTTAGCTTGACAATCATAATAGCATCAACAATGTAAACATCAAAACTTGGACATCAACTAGATCATTATGTGATATTGTTTATCTTTTTGTTCCTCTTGCACATTGTATAAATATTTTAATTTGTTATGTAAGTAATTTGTTTATTTCCTCCTAGGGTAAGGTACCAAAAACCTTGGTGCTCCGGCTTTGCCTCGGCTCTCGGTGGACCCACCTCGGGATATTTGTAAATTTAACTTACAAGTTGTATATTTTTTTACTTTTAACACATAAAAATTTAAAGGGTGATGCAATACTTTTCAATAATAAATGTTTGTTACTAATAACAAAGTTATAAGTTTTATTCACTGGATTACAAGGAACTTTCATTAGAAACAAAAATATACTTTTCTAAATTAACTTTTCACGCTGTTTTCAAATGTGCAGTTAGACTTTTTCTATCATTTCTAAGTTTTAATATTAAAAAATAAGTATTTACATATAAAAAAATAATTAAAAACAAAAAAAAATTGTTTTAAATTAATACTGATTTTGATTTTTAACATGTTAAAATAAGGAAAATGACATATTTATTTTTTAATCCTTTAAAGTTGATTTTTGTGAAAGGTTATAATAAAAAAACTTATTAGCAAATTTCTACTTTTCTAAATTACTCTTCTTCATCATATATACACTTTTGGCACTCCTGATGGTTTAAAATTTTAATATCTGTTGACGTCAACTTCGAAGATGGAGTAGCAGTTTTTTATTTTGGCTTGGCTATCGTTATGGCACTACATAAATCACATGGATTTGGATATATGTGGTATATTTTGTTCCTTCTTTTATATTTTATCTTGCACAGCGTGCACGTATAAATTAATTTATTGTTTTTTACACGTATATTTTGATTTTTATTTTTTTAGTTACTGACTATATATGTAAACTATTAATTTTCTATGATGAATAATGGTCAATCCTTATATGTAATGCGTAATCCAATTGGGCGCACAGGTTGTTTAAAAAAAAAAAAGAACAAACGAAAGTTACACTTTTTCGACGAACAACGACCAATTGTGATGTGGTTAAATGTATCAGTTTGATTAATTTATCGTAGATAAATGTCATATATTAGGCACACTTATTTCGAGTTGCCGTTTTCGGCTATTCTTACCGTTATATATATAACGAATAAATTTGAGTCGTAGAAAGACGACGTAAAGATTTCTGTGAAGGAGAAACAATAAGCAAATAACAAAAAACGAAAAGCGCACAAAACTTAAGTGTAGAATAAAAGGGGTACACCAAAAAGAAAGAGAAAAGTATCAGACCAACCAGTCGTGGCTAACGTCGGAAACCAAACAGAACGCAATATCAGTAATCCATATTCGGCAGCGGCCTTATATCAGTGTCAAGGGCGGGGAGACAACTGATTGTCATATTAATAGCTGGACGGCTGATATCGATAGAGACGCGGGCGAGCACCAGCCTAGAGCAAAGGGCGGTGCCGTGTTATATGTTTCATTTTTTCATTTTTCCCCATGAGCTGTCAGGTCCTCGGGTGCCGTCAGAATGTACATGGTGAACATCTCAGTGGGCTATCCACATTTATGTAGAGGTTACCCATTAACGTTGATGACATGTTTATTATACACTGGCACATGCTTTGGACCTGTTATACTTATGTTTGAAATTGAAAACATTAAATAGAAAATTTTCTGAGAATTAAAAAAATTGATTCTTAAGATTAATATGCAGTCAGCAAATTTTATAATAACTATTTATAGTAAATTTATCAGAAAAGCTCAGTATTTCTTTACATTTTTATCGTAATAGGTAACTTAAATAGTAATAATAGCAATAATTTTCTAGTAACTTTTGGTGTTTAAAAAGATGCTATAATTGAAATATAAACTGAATTAATATTAATGATATTAAAACTTTAACTAAAAATACCAATCAAAAAAAGTTGTTAAAATGATTTACAATCATTTTTTTTAGAAATTATTTTTATAGCAACATGTTTCCAAAAAATTGTAATCATTTGACGTATCGTTGAAAAAAGTAGGTCAAGTTAGAGCAGAGAAAATAAAAGTTAGTCACAAAAAAATAACTTCTTAGCTTTGTATCGAAGCAAAAACCTAAAATATAGTAAAATAATTTTAATATAAATAAGAAATTTCTTCTCACTAGGGGCGACTACAGTGTTAACAATCAAATGAGTTGAACATTCATTCTAACTTAAAAAGAATTAAGAAAAAAATGCAAAGAATTCCTCAGGCTGGAACCTTGTACACCAAGCTCATATGATACAAGTGTTCCCGACTAAGCAACCGCATGTCGCTTTCGTCGACTGAAAAAAATGGCAATTTAAGCTAGTTTAAATTTCAAAGTTATTGTTCTCGACTTAAAAAAGCAAAAAAAATTTAAATAAGGTTTTCACTATAAATCTGAGAAAGTATTAAAATTTTACTATGATTTTTTTTTTTTGCGTGTCTATTACCACTCAATCTGAGCTCTAGCTGGACTTATTTTGATGAACAATATGTCAAAAGATCACAAATCGTATCTAGTCGAAGACATTACCCTCACAAATTGAAAAAAATTCCCTCGTTTTCCGTAAACGGGGGAAATCCACAAAAAAATTACAAATCTAAACATCGCTAATTTTCGACATTTCTTCATTTTTTTTACTTAAAATTGCCATAACTTTTTTAAAAATTCCCGAATCAATATAATTTTTTTTTTATAGATACCTTAGATATTTACCTATTATTTTATATATTTTTTGTGAACATTTGACCATTTGACAAGAAGGATTTCAAAATGGTAACTTTTTTACATTATCTTTTGGAAATGTTCCGGAAAGAGTGACAAAAGCTAAATGATCTGCTAGTTCCTTATTAATATTCT